AAATACACACTGACTACAAGGTCACGTATAGGGAAATACACACTAACGACAGGGACAGATATAGAAAAATACACACTGACTACAGACACATATAGGGAAATACACACTGACTACAGAGACACATATAGCGAAATACACACTGACTACAGAGGCAGATAGAGAAAATACACACTGGCTTCAGAGACGCATATAGGGAAATACACACTGACTGCAGAGACAGATAGAGAAAATACACACTGGCTTCAGAGACACATATAGGGAAATACACACTGACAACAGAGACACATGAGGAAATACACACTGGCTACAAAGGGAAATACACACTGACTACAGGGTCACGTATATGGAAGTACACACTGACTACAGAGGCACATATAGGGAAATACACACTGCCGACAGAGACACATATAGGAAAATACATACTGACTACACAGACAGATAGAGAAAATACACACTGACTACAGACACATATAGGGAAATACACACTGAATACAGAGACACATATAATAAAATACACACTGACGACAGAGACAGATAGAGAAAATACACACTGACTACAGACACACATATAGTGAAATACACACTGACTACAGAGACAGATAGAGAAAATACACACTGACCTCAGAGACGTATATATAGGGAAATACACACTGACTACTAAAGGAAATACACACTGACTTCAGACACATATAGTGAAATACACACTGATTACAGAGACACATATAATGAAATACACACTGACGACAGAGACAGATAGAGAAAATACACACTGGCTACAGAGACACATATAGTGAAATACACACTAACTACAGAGACAGATAAAGAAAATACACACTGACAACAGAAACACATAGGGAAATACACAGTGACTACTAAGGGAAATATACACTGACTACAAAGGAAAATACACACTGACTACAAGGTCACGTATAGGGAAATACACACTAACGACAGGGACAGATATAGAAAAATACACACTGACAACAGAGACGCATATAGGGAAATACACACTGACTACAGACACATATAGGGAAATACACACTGACTACAGAGACACATATAGCGAAATACACACTGACTACAGAGGCAGATAGAGAAAATACACACTGGCTTCAGAGACGCATATAGGGAAATACACACTGACTGCAGAGACAGATAGAGAAAATACACACTGGCTTCAGAGACACATATAGGGAAATACACACTGACAACAGAGACACATGAGGAAATACACACTGGCTACAAAGGGAAATACACACTGACTACAGGGTCACGTATATGGAAGTACACACTGACTACAGAGGCACATATAGGGAAATACACACTGCCGACAGAGACACATATAGGAAAATACATACTGACTACACAGACAGATAGAGAAAATACACACTGACTACAGACACATATAGGGAAATACACACTGAATACAGAGACACATATAATAAAATACACACTGACGACAGAGACAGATAGAGAAAATACACACTGACTACAGAGACACATATAGTGAAATACACACTGACCTCAGAGACGTATATATAGGGAAATACACACTGACTACTAAAGGAAATACACACTGACTTCAGACACATATAGTGAAATACACACTGATTACAGAGACACATATAATGAAATACACACTGACGACAGAGACAGATAGAGAAAATACACACTGACTTCAGAGACGCATCTATAGGGAAATACACACTGACAAATGAGACACATAAGGAAATACACACTGGCTACAAAGGGAAATACACACTGACGACAGAGTCGCATATAGGGAAATACACACTGACGACAGACACATATAGGGAGAATACACACTGACAACAGAGATGCATATAGGGAAATACACACTGGCGACAGACACATATAGGGAGAATACGCACTGACAACAGAGACCCATAAAGAAATACACACTGACTACAGGGACACATATAGGGAAATACATACTGACTACACAGACAGATAGAGAAAATACACACTGACAACAGACACATATAGGGAAATACACACTGATTACAGAGACACATATAATGAAATACACACTGACTACAGAGACAGATAGAGAAAATACACACTGACCTCAGAGACGCATATATAGGGAAATACACACTGACTACTAAAGGAAAAACACACTGACTTCAGACACATATAGGGAAATACACACTGACGACAGAGACACATATATGGAAATACACACTGACTACAGACACATATAGGGAAATACATACTGACGACAGACACATATAGGGAGAATACACACTGACAACAGAGACGCATATAGGGAAATACACACTGACGACAGACACATATAGGAGAATACGCACTGACAACAGAGACACATATAGTGAATTACACACTGATTACAGAGACACATATAGTGAAATACACACTGACTACAGACACTTTTAGGGAAATACACACTGATTACAGAGACACATATAGGGAAACACACACTGACTACAGAGACAGATAGAGAAAATACACACTGACTACAGAGACACATATAGTGAAATACACACTGACTACAGACACATATAGGGAAATACATACTGACGACAGACACATATAGGGAGAATACACACTGACAACAGAGACGCATATAGGGAAATACACACTGACGACAGACACATATAGGGAGAATACACACTGACAACAGAGACGCATATAGGGAAATACATACTGACGACAGACACATATAGGGAGAATACACACTGACAACAGAGACGCATATAGGGAAATACACACTGACGACAGACACATATAGGGAGAATACACACTGACAACAGAGACGCATATAGGGAAATACACACTGACGACAGACACATATAGGGAGAATACGCACTGACAACAGAGACCCATAAAGAAATACACACTGACTACAGGGACACATATAGGGAAATACATACTGACTACACAGACAGATAGAGAAAATACACACTGACAACAGACACATATAGGGAAATACACACTGACAACAGAGGCACATAAGGAAATACACACTGACCACAGGGACACATATAGGGAAATACATACTGACTACACAGACAGATAGAGAAAATACACACTGACAACAGACACATATAGGGAAATACACACTGATTACAGAGACACATATAATGAAATACACACTGACTACAGAGACAGATAGAGAAAATACACACTGACCTCAGAGACGCATATATAGGGAAATACACACTGACTACTAAAGGAAAAACACACTGACTTCAGACACATATAGGGAAATACACACTGACGACAGAGACACATATATGGAAATACACACTGACTACAGACACATATAGGGAAATACATACTGACGACAGACACATATAGGGAGAATACACACTGACAACAGAGACGCATATAGGGAAATACACACTGACGACAGACACATATAGGAGAATACGCACTGACAACAGAGACACATATAGTGAATTACACACTGATTACAGAGACACATATAGTGAAATACACACTGACTACAGACACTTTTAGGGAAATACACACTGATTACAGAGACACATATAGGGAAACACACACTGACTACAGAGACAGATAGAGAAAATACACACTGACTACAGAGACACATATAGTGAAATACACACTGACTACAGACACATATAGGGAAATACATACTGACGACAGACACATATAGGGAGAATACACACTGACAACAGAGACGCATATAGGGAAATACACACTGACGACAGACACATATAGGGAGAATACACACTGACAACAGAGACGCATATAGGGAAATACATACTGACGACAGACACATATAGGGAGAATACACACTGACAACAGAGACGCATATAGGGAAATACACACTGACGACAGACACATATAGGGAGAATACACACTGACAACAGAGACGCATATAGGGAAATACACACTGACGACAGACACATATAGGGAGAATACGCACTGACAACAGAGACCCATAAAGAAATACACACTGACTACAGGGACACATATAGGGAAATACATACTGACTACACAGACAGATAGAGAAAATACACACTGACAACAGACACATATAGGGAAATACACACTGACAACAGAGGCACATAAGGAAATACACACTGACCACAGGGACACATATAGGGAAATACATACTGACTACACAGACAGATAGAGAAAATACACACTGACAACAGACACATATAGGGAAATACACACTGATTACAGAGACACATATAATGAAATACACACTGACTACAGAGACAGATAGAGAAAATACACACTGACCTCAGAGACGCATATATAGGGAAATACACACTGACTACTAAAGGAAAAACACACTGACTTCAGACACATATAGGGAAATACACACTGACGACAGAGACACATATATGGAAATACACACTGACTACAGACACATATAGGGAAATACATACTGACGACAGACACATATAGGGAGAATACACACTGACAACAGAGACGCATATAGGGAAATACACACTGACGACAGACACATATAGGAGAATACGCACTGACAACAGAGACACATATAGTGAATTACACACTGATTACAGAGACACATATAGTGAAATACACACTGACTACAGACACTTTTAGGGAAATACACACTGATTACAGAGACACATATAGGGAAACACACACTGACTACAGAGACAGATAGAGAAAATACACACTGACTACAGAGACACATATAGTGAAATACACACTGACTGCAGAGACAGATAGAGAAAATACACACTGACTTTAGAGACGCAAATATAGGGAAATATATTCTGGCCAAAAAAGGAAATACACACTGACTACAGAGACACATATAGGGAAATACACACTGACTACAGAGACACATATAGGAAAATACATACTGACTACACAGACAGATAGACAAAATACACACTGACTACAGACACATATAGGGAAATACAAACTGATTACAGAGACACATATAATGAAATCCGTAGTATAGTGTCAACGTGATGGTCAGCGGTCAACAAACGAAACGGACTTACCGAACCAAGTCTCTTTTTTCTCAAACGCCACACTCCTTTCCAACCGCATCATGGTCCGACGCTGTCTGAATGACAACTAGTTTGATCGACCAGGTAATGTGGTTGGTGATGCAGCTGTTGGATTTGTATACAAGAAGCAGATGGATCAGCCATTATAAACGTTTCTAACAATGGCCATAGAAATTAAATCAGGGACATCACCTGTCATTATCATCATCAAAGACTAATCTTTTATCAAGCGTGAATTAACGATATATTATTAATCACCTCAAGCAATTTCCGATCAGGATAAGTATTGCATTACAGAAAAGATAGGGATATAGTATACTGAACCAAATTAAAAACTTCACAATCCTAAAATTTTAACATTTTGACCAGTTATCATTATGGGCCCTTATTGTGTATTTAAACAGTAATAGCCACGTATTGTCTTCAGATAACACCCGTTTTTGTGCAGGTGAATCGATCAAAATCATGTGCACAGCACTATAGTGGCAAAAGTGTTTTTTCACGTGCAACTGGTCACATGGCCATAATATCGCACGTGTTTTCAGCCATACTTGTTAGCAGTCATTAACAAAAAAAGAAAAACACAAGAAAACAAAAGTCTTTTAGGCCATTTGTCATGCCACGCCTTTCAAATGTGCAACGTGAACGTGCCATCGGCATGTTGCAGACGGGAACGTCCGCAGCTGAAGTCGCAAGGACGATGGGCTGTAGTCGACGGACTGTTTATGATTTACAGACGCGTCTACAGCAAACGGGTACCACCCTGATCGCCCTCGGCAAGGTCGACCACGTGTGACGTCACATGCAGAGGATCTTCAGATTGTCTTACGTCACCTTCGTAACCGATTTTTGACGGCTACATCAACCAGAAATGAACTGTTTAGGGGTAGACTGAGTGCGCAAACTGTTCGAAACCGTCTGAGAACTGCTTACCTTCAAGCACGACGGCCATACTGCGGGCCGATTCTGACTCAATTACACAGACGTCAACGTCAATTGTGGGCACAGCGACACTTACGATGGAATCAAGTCGTCTTCAGTGATGAATCCCAATTTAATCTTCGATTTGCTGATGGTAGGGCGAGGGCGTGGAGGCGCCGTCATGAACGTTACGCCCTGTGTTGTCTACAGGAAGTTGACAGATTTCGAGGCGGAAGTGTCATGGTGTGGGGTGCTTTCTGTGGCAATGGACGTTCCAGGCTTCTTGTCATCCGTGGCAACCTCACCGCTGCTGCTTACCGCGACCAGGTACTGGCACCAGAACTTCTGCCTTAAATGGCAGCACATGGACCCGGTTTGATCTTTCAACACGACGATGCCAGACCCCACACAGCAATTTTGACAAGGAATTTCCTTCAGAATGCGGGAGTCAACGTCATGGACAGGTTGTCAAGGTCTCCCGACCTCAATCCCATCGAACACGTCTGGGATGCTCTTGGCAGAAGTCTGCGCACTCTCCAGAACCAACCACAGAATTTGCAAGATCTTGGCACCATTTTGCAGCAACAATGGCGTCGTCTTCCCAATCATGTGTTCACAAGCATCACAAGGTCCATGCGGAGGCGTTGTGTGGCAGTTGTCAACGCACATGTTGACCATACACGCTACTGAACTTGTGTGCCATCAGATTCTCGTGCTTGGGACTTACGATTTAAACTGTTGATGTTATTACCGAATATCGTAGGTGCTTGGAACAAATTATGGTTACCACCGTTAATTAAAATCCTTTATGGACATTAATGATTAAAATATACCTTCTCTGATACATTTGTCCGTTGTATATCATATATGGGATTACTTTTAAAAATGTGAAGTTTTTAATTTGACTCAGTTTATTTGTTATTTGCTATTTACCACAAACATGGTATCAAGCAATGAATGAATGAATGAAGCGTGAAAGACCTGTATTGACAGAAACTTTTCTGCGCCACATATTTTCATCATATTCATAAATGGTTTTATTAACCAGTTGCTTCCAGTTTCTCTTTGTAGGAAATACACCACAGCTTACATATGTACAAAGGTTTCGTAGGCTATACTTGTTAAGAAGTGATAATAAATCTCCACATACAGATTTAGGATTAGTTGGATTTGCAATGTATGCACCAAAAAGATGTTTAGCAAAATTGTTACAGGTTAAATTACATAAGCGGCCAAGCAGCTGAAGTTTACACTTGTCGATAAAGTGCAAGCAAAACAGTTGGAATATCTAGACCAAATACACAAATACCACTATTTGCTTGTCTAAGGGCTGTTATAAGGTCATTAATAAAGACTAAAAAGATCCAAGCAGAGAGAACTCTTCCTTGTCCGACACCTTGTCTTACATGATATATATCTGACTGTTCACCCTGATAAGTAACAAAAGCATGGCTATTTGTAAAGCTATGGTGTAATAACCTGCATGTATTTCCTCCGATACCCATTGGTGTAATTTATTTTTTTAAAAGCCGTCCTGCCATATTCTGTCGAGAGCCTTTTCATTGTCTAAGAAAGCAGCATATACTGTAGAATATCGCTGTACGTAAAATTGAATACTTTCAATAAGGGTAAAAACGGACATTATTGCTCCATGTTCTTTTCTAAAGCGGAACTGGAGCATGTCAGGGAAATCAGGATTTGTCTTTATCATTTTTAGTTCAATGCGCTTAACAATAAGTTTTTCAAACAGCTTTCCAATGCATGAAGTTAAAGTTATACCTCTATAGTTTCGGGGATCCGATTTGTCATTCTTACCCTTGTATATAGGAATGACCATTCCTAGTCTATAATTAAAAGAAATGTATTGTAGTCTTAACATAGCATTAAACAGGGCACACAGATATCTTATCAAGGATTCACCCCATGTGAATTATATGCTCGTTTGTAACTTTATCAGGCCCAGGGGACTTGTTTCTACTCAGCGTTTTTATAGTATCATTTATTTCTACAGTAGAAAATTGTCTTTCTAGTTCCTCATCATGTGCCCCTATGTCTTCGTGAATACGCTCTAGGGAAGAAGATATTTCTTTTTGAAAATTTTCATCAAAAGTGTCTGAGCAATGTGGCTGAGCTAGATCATAGTAATATTTTCCCCTTAATCTACAAATGTCCGAGGGTGTTGTGACACTCTCTCCCTCAAAGTTGAGTTTTGTTATATCTGTAGTTTGTGACCTTTGCTTTATTACAGCTTTGTAAAAGGAATGTATATCAAGTTCAGATGATTTTTTAATTTCTGTAAGGGACTTTTTTGGATTTGCGATAAAGGCGTCTAAAACACCTTTTTTCATTTTTGTAAGATATACGTTCGTTTGAATTAGTCCACATTGTAGATTATCAAGCTAAGATATCAGGTCATTAATATAGACTAGAAACATCCATGCTGAGAGCACGCGACCTTGTCCTACTCTTTGTTGAACATAGAACAAATCACTTGTCCTCCCATTGTATTTAACACAAGCACTTGCTTCTTGGTAAGACTGACGGATAATGTGCCATGCATGGCCTTTCACACCAAGATTGTATAGTTTTAGTAGCAGCCCCTCATGCCATATCCTGTCGAAGGCCTTTTCGTTATCCAGAAAGGCAACATATATATTTGAGTGTCTATCTTGATAATAGGAAATAGCCTCTTTTAACACATATGTAGCAACACTGGCGCCATGCTCTTTCCGGAAGCCGCACTGGAGACGATGTGGGAAATCAGGATTAATAGATTTGATGTAGGACTACAGTCTGTCTAGCAACAGCCTCTCAAATACCTTCCCAATCACGGATGTTAGAGTGTTATCGCGATAATTAGCTGGGTTGCATTTATCTTTATTTTTTCCTTTGTAGATGGGAATAATAGTTCCAGTTCTCATCATGACAGGCGTGTAACAAGTACTGATCATCATATTGTAGAGGTGTGCCAGATGTTTAAACAGAAGATTGTCAGCATTAAAGAGGTGTTCTACAGTAATACAGTCTGGTCCGGGAGACTTCAGCCTCTTAATGGTTGATTTCACTTCATTAGATGCAATACTTGTCGTCAGGATTGGATCGTTCTCAGATATGTTACTGTTTGCTATATCACAAACCTTTGATTTTGTTTCCTCATAAAAGTCCGCTTCAAACTCAGCCCTACCGAGAGGAGACAGCAGATCCCCATAGTAATCAGTCCACATATTGCAGATGTCCTCGGGTGTGCTGGCCGTATTAGCGTCTCTAACAATGGCCATAGAAAATAAATCAGGGACATCACCTGTCATTGTCATCATCAAAGACTAATGTTTTATCAAGCGTGAATTAACGATATATTATTAATCACCTCAAGCGATTTCCGATTAGGATAAGTATTGCATTACAGAAAAGATAAGGATATAGTATTTGTTATTTGTTATGTACCACAAACATGGTATCAAGCAATTTTGAGACGGGATACTGTTGGGAAAATTATAACGTTTTCAAAGTAATTCAGTTTCATTTCGAATCCTATCTAATTACCTTGGATTGTGTAATATGTGATATTTGTTTTGATTGAATAAGGGGTCTCCCCACCCCCAACGGTGTCCTCCCATTAGTTAGACGTCCCAATAGTTAGACAGCTTATAACAACACTTTAAACGGTTGAGTGCACACTAATCCTTATGCTTGTTACCTCAGACTTTAAAATGGAATAATCCAGATAAGATCTGACAAACAAAGGAAAGCAGCTTTAAATAGATACTTTAATATTATACTTAACATTTAATGACACTTTACATTTGATAAATTTTATACAGTTTGTAACAACACTTTGTGACAGTTTTTGGTAATGTACACTTTACATTTAATAACTTTTACAGTTTATTTATCCCAGACGAAGCAAGTGTGCTATGTGACAGAGGTCTGTTGAATCGCTCTGGAACTTCTGTCTTCAGTTGTCGAAAAAGCCGGCCATAGGTTGTTGCTTGGCGATCTGGCAAAAGGGCGAACACAAGAGGGAAGGTGTTGGGACCAACTCTGGCATGAATGATGTATACTTGATCCCATAAACCTTGACATGCTGTGAAGGTACCATCCATGTAAAGGGTGTCAGCTTCCTGGC